CGAGCTCCCCGCCCGCGCCGGGGCCGCTTGGCTGCCCTGACTCACCGCTCTCCCCTCTCTCTTTCCATGCTGCGCCGCCGCGTCAGAGACCCAAGGGCCAAGGCAACAAAGGTGAGAGCCCGGGGGCGGCGGTGAGGGCTGGAAAATGGTGGGGGATCCCGCGGGGAAGTTGCGGCTCTGGGGAGCGTGGCGGCGGGCGAGGGAGGGGGAGAATCTGCTCCGAAATTTGCTGAGCGCGTCCTGGGGTCTGTGCACCTTTATGCAACGAAATTAAACACCCAGAGCGTGAGCTGTGAAGCCCGTCATTGCTCCTGGGGCCGGGGAAAGTTTGCAATTACAGAGCAGTTGTGCGGTGGCGAAGTGTCTTTCCTTCCGCTCGCTGTTGAGCTGAGCGTGGTGCGCTCTGAACTGGCGAGCAGCAGTTACGTTATCGGGTCTGTCTTTAAATACTTCAGGTTGGGAAATGGCTGAGTTTATCAGCAGAGTTCTTCCTAACCCTCTGCCTCTCTTCCTCAGTGCAAAACGGATCTGTGCATCAGAAGGATGGGTTGAATGATGATGACTTTGAGCCCTACTTGAGTCCCCAGGCCCGGCCGGTGAGTGAGAGCTCAGGGCAGGAAGCACCAAGAGCCCAGGGGCTTCCTGCTGCCTTCTAGCGAAGGGGAATTTGGTATCTTTGTGTTTCCCTATCTCTGCTGATTGTATTTTGATGTTTGTCAGCTTTCTTCCCGTAACACGCTATTTTACGTGTGCATTTCTCCTGGCAGAAAGCACTGAATGCCATTAGATCGTGCTGGGTGAGGTGTAAATGTTTTAGCAGGTTTTTGGGGGTGAAAGGACTTGCTGCAGTTGGTGTTCAGCTCTTTTTTTCGTTAACATATCTGCCTTGAAGTTACCATTTCTGCTCTTCCAGTTTTACTGTTACAACCTTGTTTCCTTGCTGCTCTGGGGCTCTCACACCCTGCGAGGAGATGCGCTGCTTCGCGCGCTGCAGTTATGCTCTGAGGGCTTTTGGAGGACGCTGCTGATGTTCTTATCTCTCCAGCAAGCAGACTGGAAATGCGTGTCATGGGGTTTGCTCTATTTTTCACCCAGAACCCCACAGAACACGCACGTGATAAACGTTGGTAAGGCTTTTTCAGAAGTTAAGATACAAGTCGAGCTGCAGGGCTTGTGATCAGCTCCTGGAAGTCGAGCTTGCAGCCACTTTCCTGCTTCACTTTCTGTTTAAGATTAGCTCCACTGTTAACTGGGTTTTGTTTGTTTTTCTTAATGAGAATGACACATAACAGATGGGGTTCAGCTGATTAGATGGTCCAAGTGAGCACTAGAGATAAACATCTGTCGTAGCACTGGGGCAGTCAGCTCATTCTTCTGGCTCCTCTTTCCTCTCCAGTTGTGACCACGAAAAATAAGCTCTTCTGGTTTTCCTTTTTTTGTATTTTTTTTCAATATTTTTTGCAGTTTTAATATTTTTTCAGTTTAGTGACGTGTGTTTTCTTGGAGCACAAGAACATGTTTCTGTCTTGGTTACATTCTCAACAAGTATTTTCCCAGTTTGTGCTAAAGATAGGGGACTGAATATTCTTCAGGGTCCTGTCAGCTGTTTGTAATCTTCAGAATCCAACCTGTTTGTTAAGACAGGTAGCTGCCTGCAGCTCCTTAAAAAGTTAAAGCCTACGTTTGACCTGCATAGGGTGAGAGACTCTGAGTACTTTCTCAAGTCTTGAATAAAAGTGGCTATTTTCCTAGTAGCTATCATTTAATAGGGTTGTTTTTCAGTCCCAGGAGTTAACATCACCCATTTCCAGCTTCCTTTTGATTGTGGACGTATTTCCTGCAGAGTGTTTTATTTGCATCACCTGAAGAGACAGGAGGTTGCTGTGGTGTTAGCAGCAGTGTGGTGTTTTACCCTATTTTGCATGTTTGATGGAGAACTCTCGAATATTTGGTTTCTTTTTGCATGTGTCAGGCTGGTAAAAATAAGTTTTTAAAAATAAGGAAGTGATTGGAGCGCGCCCTGGGAGGTGAAGCAGAGCTGTTGCTCTAGAAATCCAGCAGGACTGAGGTAAAACCGCTGTGGTAACTTTGAGTGAAACTTTAGGGTGACTTTCTCAGTTTCTCCCTGTGCTGTGTTGTTGCTCCTTGGCTCTCATCTGTGTTTTAACACTCGGTGTAATAGAAAACAGAATCCTAGGGTTCAGTCGAGGGGACCATGGTCAAAATACAAAGATACCAAAGTGTGCACCTCCTTTCTGCCCATGGGAAAGGGAGTTACAGATAAAATGAATCCAGGGGTTTCTCAAATTGCTCTCTGAGCTCTCCACACAACCACTGAGTAACAAGTCCTAAAGTTTCATGACTTTTCCTTCAGGAGTTCCTAGCTTGTCAGCCTGGTAAATGAGGTTACTGTGTGTTTTAAAGCCCAGCTGCACAGTCGCTGATTCTTCAGCAGTTTAAGCAAGCTTAACCTCTGGTTTTAGTCTGAGCTGAAGAGGAATAGTGAATTTGAGGAAATAACAGTGCAAAAAGTCTTAGTCATTGGAGAGAATGAAGGGCTGGTGGAGTTTTATTTGCATACTCGCGAGTAGCTGTGTCGGTTGTGCGAGCGCGGGGTAGCGGAGCACGGTGGTTGGTGGTTCCAGTGACCAGCAGTGAGCCTGTCCTCAGTCTGCCGTGAGCTGCCGTTGCTCAGCTCGTGTTTAACTCCTCTGCTCCCTCCTTGCTGTGAGGGTCACTGGTGAACACAGGTGATAGCTTAATACAGGCTACGTTAAAATATCTCATGCAGTTAAAGATGGAACGGCGTTTAAGAAGGTGTTTTTAGGTGACAAGGACAGGTTTTCACCTGAGAGTGGTGTGGGAGAAGCCTGCGGAGAGGAAGTGGCTGCTCTGCCTGCTGGGCTCAGGTTTTGGGTATGGGCTGGCACACTTAGGTCCCATTAAAGCAAATTTCTGGGAGAGTGTATTGCTATAATTGAGAGGTTTATGTTTTGAAGAGACTTTGCTGGTTCAAAGTAAGTTTTAAGTTCCTTCATTTGCCTTACAAATTAGTCAGTGCTTGTGCTTTCGGACAGACTGAGCCCAAAAGACTGTTTGTTGGTTTGGGTTTAGCAGGGCGGAGTTCCTCAGTTGGTAAAACTGCCCTGGATAAGAGTTAGTTTTGTTGGTAATTTATTTTCCCTTTCTTTGGGAAAACAGGCTGGACAAAGCGTCCCTCAGTTTTCTCCCATTCACACAGTGAAGTACCACGAGAAGCTGTTTAGTGCTTTATGCAATGAAACAAACCTTGTCTCAGAACACGTTACACTAAATAATTCCCATTAGTTTTTATCACCAGTTAGCCCCAAACCTGCTGCTCCCCTTTAACTGGGAGGAAGGTGCAGAGGCAACCCAGCAATTTCTGGAGGGTGCAGAACCATCTTGAGAGCCTCCGTAGGTCTCAGCATGGCATCGAGTCCTTCGGGAGCTGCGCTTGGCACGTGGAAACGTGATTCAGGGAGAAATGGAGTGGAGCCTGCTGTGAGCCGAGCAGTTTCAATGGGAGCTGAAGCCGAGTTTCATCTCCGCGTTGTGTGAGCGGCTGCGGAGCTCGGGTCCAAATGAGGGGTGCTGACGGCCGTTAGTGTGGCTGGAACCGCTGCCCGCGGGGGACGTGGGTTCGAATGTGGAGTGAGAGATGTTTTACATGTAACCAAATCGTGGTGATGTCTGAGAGTTCCCTAATTGTAAAATTAGGCATTTGTTTTCATAACCTAAAGGGTACTTGGATGTTAAAAGGGAGACCGAGGCACAGAGCAGCTTCTTTTTTGTGCTGTCTTTGGCTCCCACTGAAACCCTACTGATTGCTCCCCGTTTTCAGGTATTTTTTCAGTACGTGCCCCTGGCACAGGAGCAGTTTGTGTTTTGGGGAGTAAGCTTTAAATCCCTGTTTGTTTGCAAGTTCTTGGATTACAATGAGCTCTGAAACTCTAAATTGTGGGGATAAAGCTGTTTTCATGGGCAATGAGTTTGAGGAAGGCAATTAGGGACATTTATGACTTTGGCCCTGCACTTCTGCTGGATCTTTTCTCTCCATATTCCACTTCTCTCTGCATCCTTTCTTCAGTTCCCCCCTCCAACAGCAAAATTAAGGTGTATGTGCATGTTTACCCAGAGAAAAGCCCTCTTTGGTAACAGCTACAAAAAGTAGAAGATAATACTTGGATGCTAGGTCAGATAATGATTTTATAGCCTGAGCAGCAGCTCCGGGGCAGTCCGCTGTGTGTTCCCACACCGTGCGTCAGGAGCACACCACGCTCCTGTCTCAGCACGGGAAGCTGAGCCCTTTGTGTGTAATCGTTCTGGCAAGGCAATGGTTTTTGGAGCGCTCGTAACAAAGGAGATGTTTCAAGGCCAGGCCTGTTTACCTGCCCAGCCTTAAGGTAGGGAGGGGTGGGGCACGGAAAGTCTCAGGGTTTTTATTCCCAATCCCTTGACGTTTGTTCAGCTCAATGTAACTGCTCAGAGCTTATTTTTCTTGCTTTTGCTTGTTGTTTTTTTTTTTCCAGAATAATGCCTACACTGCAATGTCCGATTCCTACTTACCAAACTACTACAGTCCCTCCATTGGATTCTCCTACTCCTTGGGCGAAGCCGCCTGGTCGACGGGGGGCGACCCCCCCATGCCCTACCTGACGTCGTACGGACAGCTGAGCAACGGGGAGCCGCACTTCCTCCCAGACGCCATGTTCGGGCAGCCAGGGGCCCTCGGCAGCACTCCATTCCTCGGGCAGCACGGCTTTAACTTCTTTCCGAGCGGGATTGACTTTTCGGCTTGGGGGAATAACAGTTCTCAGGGACAATCCACTCAAAGCTCCGGCTATAGCAGCAATTACGCCTATGCCCCTAGCTCGTTAGGTGGAGCCATGATCGACGGGCAGTCGGCTTTTGCGAATGAGACTCTCAACAAGGCTCCTGGCATGAACACCATCGACCAAGGGATGGCGGCCCTGAAGCTGGGCAGCACAGACGTGGCAAGCAGCGTCCCGAAAGTTGTCGGTTCGGCCGTCGGTAGTGGATCCATTACCAGTAACATCGTGGCATCCAACAGTTTGCCTGCGGCCACTATCGCTCCTCCAAAGCCGACCTCCTGGGCTGACATCGCTAGCAAACCCGCTAAGCAGCAGCCCAAGCTGAAGACCAAGAACGGCATCGCAGGTTCAAGTCTTCCTCCGCCTCCGATAAAACATAACATGGATATTGGAACTTGGGATAACAAAGGGCCGGTGGCAAAAGCTCCCTCGCAGGCCTTGGTTCAGAACATTGCAGGGCAGCC